CCCCCCCAATCTGGGACGGTGATGGGACTGCCTCCTGCTGAAGGCTGTATGTGAATGCAGAGGACTTGTGCCCCTATTATCACACCAGTAGGGAGGAGTGGCTTCAGTGGCTCACCTGTTCAGATGTAATGTTTCCCCTTACAGATAGCAGCCCAGGTCGGACATGCAGCTGTTGGCCTGTACCAGTTAATACAGGAAAAATCCACTGGGAGGGAGATGATCTCTCAGTGGGATGAATATGGGTAAGATGGTAGTGTGTGTGTGATAAACATGTGTCCAGCCACCCTATTGAATATATGTTGTAAAATTCAGAGAGAAAACGGAGCGCACTGACTCATGTTGGTCAGGCTTCCTTGTTGGGAGGGAGGGTGAAGGATTGAAATAACAGGCAATATCCAAGACTAAGCTTGAGGGGCAGCAGCAGCAGAGCTTTCACAGCACTTCACTGCATTCCCCTTGGTCCTTCCTCTTAATCCCCCCTTTCACTCATTTAGCATTCACTCTAAATGGTTCTTCAAGCAGTTGTCTGAAATGGGTTAAACAGATAAAGATGAGTAGACATCAGAATGTTCTCATTCTACTTGGTCATTGAAAGGGCCAAAGGAGGGAGGACCCTTTCTGATCTGGGCTTTTTGTCTCTTGTAGATAATTTATTTGAAATTTAACTTAGTAAATTAATCTTGAATAACTGTTATGCTCCTATCTGAAGCAGGTGGGTTTGCAGTTGCTAGATGAATGGGAGATGGATCTCTAACTCTTTTGTTAGGCCAATGACTTCCTTAGCTTGTACACTGCTCTCCTAGCCAAGCATCCTCTGATAAGAGGTCACGGGATAGTATGAGCTCTTTCTGATCACTTGCTTTCTCCTTGTTAGTGCGAAGAAGGTTGTAGTTCAAGGATCAAACACTGCCCACCTGATGGATTTGCAAGCATTGGCTTTGAGCCTGGAGCTGCCAACATACTTGGTGCAGGATGCAGGGAGAACACAGGTAACCAAGCTAGGAATTGAGTGCATGTGTGTAACTAATACAATACATTTGGCACTTTAAAAGGGCCAATGTCCCAGAGTTTGAAAACAATTGTGAGCAAAACTGATTGGGAGGAAGAATTTAAAACAATATGAATAATAACTGGAAGTCAATCTAAGAAAATTTTACTAGATGTCTTAAAAACCCCATAATTCAGCAATTATCAAATGATTCTTCAGTTACCTTGTTCTAGTTAAGGAATTTGAAAGAAGTGATAAAATTTAAAAAAAAAAAGACTGGAAGGGGAAAGTAGATACTGGTAGCAATGACAACAAATTAGCAGTTATAAAATGAAGACCTTGAAAAGGGAAGCCAAAGAAATCAATAAAAAGAAACCTGTAGCCTGTAAGGCTACGGACAATAAAAATGAATTTTTTCAAATATCCAAAACAAAAGAAATTCTAGCAATGATGTAAGTCTGTTGTTGGATAGGGATGGTAAAATCATAGAATCGTGGGACAAGAAGGGGCCTCGAGAGGTCATCTAGTCCAGTCCCCTGCACTCATAAGTATTATTTAGACCATCCCTGACAGGTGTTTGTCTAACCTGCTCTTAAAAATGTCCAATGATGGAGATTCCACAACCACCTTAGATAATTTATCCAAGTGCTTAACCACTCTGACATTTTCTAATGTCCAACCTAAACAGTTCTTGCTGCAATTTAAGCCCATTGCTTCTTCGCGTATCCTCAGAGGTTAATGAGAACAATTTTTTTTCTCCCTCTGCCTTATAACAACCTTTTATGGACTCAAACTGTTGTCATATGCCCCCTCAGTCTTCTCTTCTCCAGACTAAACAAACCCAATTTCTTCAATCTTCCCTCATAGGGCATGCTTTCTAGACCTTTAATCATCTTTGTTGCTCTTCTCTGGACTTTCTCCAATTTATCCACATCTTTCCTGAAATGTGGCGCCCAGAACTCGACACGATACTCCAGTTGAGGCCTAATCAGCGCAGCATAGAGCGGAATAATTACTTCTCGTGTCTTGCTTACAACATTCCTGCTAAGTCATGCCAGAATGATCTTTACTTTTTTGCAACAGTGTTACACTCTTTACTCATTTAGCTTGTGATGCCAACAATTATGCAAAAAAGCAGAAGTGTTCAATAAATATTTGCCTGATAAAGAAGCTGGATGACTTTACATCCTACCATGGTGATGGAAAACCTACTACTCTGACAGTAACTAAACAGGGTGTTAAATAGCAACTGCTAAAATTAAACATTTACAGATATCTTGCACCCATGGGTCCTAAAAGAGTTGGTGGAAGAACTCTCTGAGCCATTGATGCTGATAGTTAAATATTGGAACACTCTGGAAGTTCTACAAGATTGGCACAATGTTCTTTCTGCCAATATTTTAAAAGGATAACTTGAGTAACTTCAGGCCACTTAGCCTGACATTGCTCCCATATAAAATAATGGAACAGCTGATCTGGGGTGCATTCAGTAAAGACTTGAAGGACGGTAGTATAGTTAATACCAATCAACATGGCTTTATGGAAAATGTCTTGTCAGACAAACTTGATAAAATTTGAGATTATCAACCAAGTTTATAAAGATAATTGTTAACACCATGTACTTAGACTTCTGTAAGTCAAATGCCTTAGTACTCATGACTGTCTGAAAATATATATCTGCAAAATCATGAAGCGAATAACAAATTTAAATTGGGGAATTGTTATCCAATAGAGATGTTCCTGTTTGGATATCGCAGGAATCTGTTCCTGGGTCAATGTTATGTACTATCATTACCAACGATTTAGAAGAAAATATGAAATCATTGTTGGTCAAGTTTGCAGATGTCAGTTTCAATATAATGAGGACTGCTCCAGAACAGAGCAATGTGGAGTGTGTGGTAACCTGGAATCACTGGGGGGAAGGTGTGTGTGTGCGCGCGCGCACATGTGCATGCCTGGTTTGAGCATTGGCCTGCTAAACCCAGGGTTGTGATTTAAATTCTTGAAAGGGCCATTTAGGGGTCTGGGGCAAAAATCTGTCTGGGGATTGGTCTTGCTTTGAGCAGGGGGTTGGACTAGATAACCTCTTGAGGTCCCTTCCAACCCTGATATTCTATGCCAAACACCAGGTCATACATCTAGGATCCAGGAATGTAGGTCCTAGGGATGTAAAAGGTTAACTGCTAAGCATTAAGCTTACCGTTAACCGAACCTTAACCATTGGCCCTGGCCACCTCGGGCCAGCTGGCTGGACCCCACTTGTAGGCTGGAGGACTGCATCCTGGAAAGCACTGACGCTGATAGTGACTTAGGGACCAAGGTGGAAATCAGCTGAAGATGAGGTCCATTGCAATGTTGTGGTTGAGCTAATGTGATCCTTGGATGATGCAAAAGTAGGGAGGTGGTATTAACTTTATATACAGCATTAAGGAGACTATTGGAATACTATGTTCAGTTCTGGTGCCAACACTCTAAAAACATGTTGGAAAGGGTTCCAACAAGATCCCCAAGAACGATTTGCGTTCTTACTGTGTGTACTTGCCAGACTAAAAAAGCTAAATCTATTTAGCTTATCCAGGAAGTTGAAGTGACTTGATCAATCTATAACGGGTGGGCAAACTTTTTGACCCGAGGGCCACATCTGGGAATAGAAATTGTATGGCGGGCCATGAATGCTCACAAAATTGGGGTTGGTGCGGGAGGGGGTGAGGGCTCTGGTTGGGAGTACAGGCTCCGGAGTGGGGCCAGAAATGAAAAGTTAAGAGTGGGAGGAGGCTCTGTGCTGGGGCAGAGGCTCTGGAGTGGGGCTGGGGATGAGAGGTTTGGGGTGCAGGAGGGTGCTCCAGGCTTGGATCAAGGGGTTTGAAGGGCAGGGGGAGGCTCAGGGGTGCAGGCTCTGGGTGGCACTTGCTGCTTCTGGGAGCCGCTTGAAGTAGCATGTCCCTTCTCCAGCTCCTATGCGGAAGTGTGGTCAGGCGGCTCTGCACACTGCCCTGTCCACAGGCACCACCCCTGCAGCTCCCATCAGCCAAGGTTCCTGGCCAATGGGAGCTGCGGGTGTGGTACTTGGGGCAGGGCAGTGTGCAGAGTGGAGCCCCCTGGCTGCCCGTATGTGTTGGAGCTGGAGGGGGACCATGCCGCTGCTTCTGTGAGCCATGTGGAGCGGCCCCTGCCCCAGCTGGAGCACTGGAGAGGGGCAAGCCTCAGACATTGCTCCCATTAATCCCGAGGGCTGGATTAAAATGGACGGTGGGCCGGATCCAGCCTGCGGGCTAAAGTTTGCCCACCCTGATCTATAAGTACCTACACAGGGAGAAGATTTGATGATGGAGGACACCTGTCAGACCAAGGCAAGACAAGATCCTATGGCTGGAAACTGAAGCTAGACAATTCAGACTAGATAGGGTGCAAATTCTTAACAGTGAGGAGGGTTAATCATTGGAACAACTTATGGACATGGTGGACTCTCACTTGAAGTCTTTAAATCAAAACTGAATGTTTACCATCATCTGAAGTGCATGCTTCTCTCTCCACTGTAGGTTCCAGCTGGATCTTACACTGTCCTTGCCATTATCGGAGAAGAAGAAATAGTGAATCAGGTGACTGGGAAGCTGAGGCTGTTGAACTGAGAGCAGCACCAAAGCCTATTATTGTGCGCTGTACCTGACTACACGCCGTGGAATTTGCAAGCCTATATGCAACATGGAGAAAGAAGCACCTGTTAACAGCATCTCAGGTCCTTCATCGAGTCATGGGAACCAGACAGCTACTCCCCTTTCTGCCTGATGAAGCTGCAGGGGAGGCATGAAGCTAGGGTGAGGAGGCAGCACTCTTCCTTCCATTTGAGGGAGTCTGTCTTGCTAGCCCAGGACTGTGAGAGGTAGTATTGCTGCGCTACTGCAGGTGGATTAGAGAGACTGCTGCACATTTCTACCTCTAGCTTCCCTAGAAATTGTCTTGGAAAAACAAGGCTTGTATTTTCTGAAACGTGCTTATGAACAAGATGAAATTCTGACAGATACCTTGCCTTTCCTTGAAATCTCTGTGGTGAGCTTGTGGCTCTGTTCATTCCCACTGTTCCCACCCTGAAATTCTAGAGTTTTATTGAAATCCAGGGAATGTGCACTGCCATGCTTAGGATGGGAGGGCTTTTAATTTTTATGGAGGTAGGTGTATGTCCTTTAATCTCTTGCATAAAAATGGGTTTCAAATATTTGATGATTAAATGACTAAGAACATACCCAGTTGTACTAGGTAGGTTTATGGGGGTCAGCTAGATCTGAAGGGAGAACAAACCCTCCTGTTTCAGAGCTGGGAAGAAATTTCCCTTATGGGCAGGTTATTCCATAATTGCCTTCTACAGGAATTTCTTGCACTTACGTATCTGAGACTGGCCATTGTCAGAGAGGATATAGGACTAAATAGACCCTTGGTTTGGCAATTCCTATCCTTCTAAAGCCTATTCTGGCAGTATAAACTGAACAGTGGCACAGATGCAGGCTTGATCTTTTTATGAAATGTACTGTTGAAATAATTACCTCTAGGTGAGGAAAATGGGCATTAAATTAGGATTAATATTTCACATTCAAGAGGGGAGGGAGGTAATTTTTTCCCCCAGCCCTAACATCCTGCTTTTAGGTCTTGGTTGTGGTTTTGTAGCACATGTGCTTAGGTGGAATTTCTAGTGAACTTTATTCAATCCAGTTGGTAGAAAATAGCCCTGGGTGTTTTGGGCGACAGTAATGGCTTTTAGTTATGTGTAGGCTTGGCTGATTGTCTGTCTGTAGGTACTGGCCCATGGCGACAGCATCCAAGTTTGCATGGTTCAATAATGGTTTTTTTTCCTCCTCCCATCATAACACCTCCATTCCCAGTACACCGTACGCACAGTTCCGGAATTGGAAGAGGTGAAACTGGCTGTCCCATGAAGTGGATCTTAATACCTGTGGCCTGAACTTCCAAGACACCTTGTTTTTAAATGTTACATGTACTGAGGGGGGAAAGAAGCAGAGGCATTGCTTTGTCATTAGGCTTGTGACCAGAACCTGCTCAGACCTCCTGTATTCCTATGGAGAGGCTTTTGGCTTACAGGATATGGTCTCCACATTAAACTTGGATGCTTGTTAATAAGCAAGGTGTTGACATGCCTGAATAGTTTCTTGGGGGTAAATCCTCATGCTTGTCTGTAGTGTCGGTGTTAGAACATAAGAATGGCCATACTGGGTCAGACCAAAGGTCCATTCAGCCCTGTATCCTGTCTTCCGACAGTGGCCAAAAAGGAATGAACACAACAGGTAATCATCAAGTGATCCATCCCCCGTCACCCATTCCCAGCTTCTGGTAGTGTAGGTGCTTAAAGTTCACTAACAGCACTTATCTGTTTGTACTTCACCTGCATAGCAAATTTAAGACTTTTCATCAAATTGTAGGCATGTGCCCATGTTGCAGATTGCAGTAGAACACACAAGCTGTTATGGTATTAAGATCCTTTGCTGGAGTAGAGGTGACACAGAATTTTTATGGCAGTCACAAACTCCCTGAAGTCAGGGATGACTTTTAATGTAAACAATGCCGTTAAGCACACAATTGTCGAGTACATAAGTAATGTTGGATATTTATAGTTAACTGTAGCTGCCTAACAACTGGTAGGTCTGTGTTCTGCATCATATGCTCATTTAAGGAGGGAAGATTGAAGGTTTATGAATGGGAACTGATGGGTGCCATCTGAATAAGATACTCCACCTGTAAGAGTTGGAGGTGCCCTGTAGAGTGGTAGAATAGCATTACAATTGAAGCACTAGACCAGGACTCAAGACATCTGGATCCAGTGCCTGGTTCTGCCACTTTCTCCCTGTTTGTTTGCTCACGATCTATAGAAATAGAGGGTGTAAAAGTACCTAGATTTACAAAGCAATGCTGCAGAATAACCGTGCAACTTACATTGCACTAGTGGCCAGAGGCTCTCAGCAGCTCCTCATTATGCCCGGTGCGGTACAAACCTGATATGGTCCCTGTCCCAAAAAGAGGTATTTCCTGATTGTTGTACTGTTCAGGTTTGCCTTAGTTACAATTTGTTTATTTGCCCTCAGGAAGAGAATAGAATATTCCACTGCTGCTTTCCTTCTTCCACTTCCCTTTTCATGGGGGAAGGAAGAGTGGTTCCTATAGTTTCCTGGCTTATTCAGCACTCCCTTTGATGTATGACTCGGGGGGGGGGGGGGGTGTAGTACAGGAAATGCTCTTGTGGTAGATTCTCCATTTGCTTTGGCTAAGACTCTGGGAAAAGGAGAGAACCCACTAGTTCAGTGGGGTCCTGAAGCAGTTGCATGTTGAATGATAATTTGACTGACTGCCTGTTTTGAACATATCTGATAAGAAAAAAGTGCACTTGAATTCTTGCCTGCTGATAGCAGATTTGTTTAGGCTTTTCCTGGGTAAAATGTGAGCACAGCTGTCGGGTATGATTTGGTTTCTTCATCTGCTTTGGAAGAATCATCAGATGAGATGCTGAAAGCTCTGCATAGTCACCCTTGTGCTCTAGATAAAACCAGGACGTGGCCCACAGCAGTTCAAGATATTCAGTGCCAGACTGTGTATCCTTCCAGAGTTTGAGACTGTTCCATGTGACATCACATGATGATGCAGCTAGAGAATTTAATGCTTAGGAAACCTTCCAACTTCCAGAGTTTCCCTAGATTTTTTTTGGCAGGGCACTGTACCAGAGAGGTGGGAGAGATTGGGGTGAGATTGTCTGCAGAGTCTCATCTGGCTCCTGCTGCTCTAGGTGGCACTCCTGTTGTGTCCTGTCTGCTGCATCCACTGAGAGTAGCAACAGAGAAATCTTCAAAGCAGCAGTAGTGATGAGGTGGAAAAACCTTTGCCACAGCAGCTTTGCTAAAGAGGCAGTAGGTAGGTGAAGATATTGAGACTGTCTGTTGTGGGCCAGGTGTGGGTGTGGAGATGGCATTTGAAAGTGTCATGGGGAGAGCAGGCCAGGGCAGTATCCCCTTAGAGTGAAGGTAGCTAGACTGGAAAATGGGGCAGGGTGCCTGCTGTAGTGGAGATGTGGATTTCACTGGAGAGTGCTGAGCATGAGTTGACTCGCTGAGAATCCTAATGGTCAAGGCAAAGCTTGAATAAACTCTCTATTAAAGAACATAATAGACTTGTTGCAGTACAGAAGGGAGTAAGATGCCACTTCCTGCTGTGCCCAAAATGACTTCTTTACAATATGTATCTTGTCCTACAGTGTGTGCAGATACTGCATTTTCTCCACAAGATGGCCCTCGATTGTATTTCAGATCAGACTCGGAAGCTACATCAGTTTTTTATGTTCTCTAGATCCTGCAAGAGGATGGGAGGAGTTAAGCTGTTGCATTATATGCCTAATTGTAAGTGAATCAGGCTTGAGTTTTTAATTTTTTTTCTAGCCTTGTGCTGACATCTTTGAGATTAGTGCAATGACTAAAGTGACAGGAAGCATGCTGGCTGCACCACTATTAGATGTTCTCCATTTGGCACAGGAACAAAGCCATGAGGAAAAAATGCATTGCCAACAATGTTCAGTAAAAGTAACATGAAAAGGTAGCTTGTACTAGAGACACCACCACAAAGACCTTGGGGTAGAGGAGGCCATTTTTTCAGTTGAGAAGTCAGGGAGGAACATGCTTCAACCAGACTCATCCTTCAGCTGCAGCTAGGAATGTTTCCAGGGAGACTAATTATAGGTGCAAGGAGGTGACCCTAGCACACTTCACGTTATAATTAGGCTCCCTCAAAGCATCAAGGAATTAGTGTTCACTTTCCTACAGCAAGAGGAGACTGAGTTTAGAGGGCGTAGCCTAGGCAACAGGTGCATGTGCCTTTCCCTCAGTGAGCTGACTTCCTCCTGCAGAGGCCTATGAGCAAATCATTGCCTGGTGCTAGTCTTGGAAAATGGTTTGCCTAGGACAGGTCATTCCTTTTTTAGAGGGGCAAACACATTTGTCACACTCTCCTTATCTCAGTCATGGTGTAAAAAAATAAAATAAAGGGCCAGCAACTGCCCTTCCGTTAGTAAGTGCTTCCCTAGCTGAGGAGTTGAACACTGAATCAGCTGCTGCCCAGCTTTTCTCAGGACCACTCTCCGCTGTGGAACGCGGGGCCAGGGGAGGGCGTTGAGGTCAAGGATTTTAGCACGATTGAAAGAAGGATTTGGATGTTCTGCATCAGATTATTCACAGTTACGTGTAAGGTTTCAAAAGGCCTGAAGCCTTTTGCTTCAGGGGGTGTCTGAGCCTCCCCCGCCTAGTTACTGCAGCGGGCGGGGGCGCTAGGGGGAGGCCGGCCTGACTGGGCGAGTGGAGGCAGTCTGGCCGTTGGGCCGGGGCTGAGAGGCCGGGCTGACTGGGCGAGTGGAGGCAGTCTGGCCGTTGGGCCGGGGCTGAG